TTTTTCACCAACGTTTTGTCAACTGGATTCGTAAAGCAACTAAATCACGCGCGTTACATTTATAAATGGCAAGCGATTAGCTGAGTATAGATATCCAGAAACGACATCGCGGTCGAATGTCGTCGCCTCCGGTTCGATGCTGCTTTTTAAATCGTCGCGTGCCATCGGCAGCATCTAAAACTGATGGCCTTCTCCTTGCCGCGCTCTTTCATTCGGAACGTGAAATTGTTGACTTACGATACTGCGCTGCGAGACCGAATTACAGTGACTCACCTGCAACAGAGAAGAAAAAGAGAATGATCAGCGATTGAGCAAAGCGGCAGAAAATTAATGAAAGCCCGATGACACTAAGAAGAGCGTGCGCGAGCGCATTCTCCGAGATTCTACATGGGCGGATGGACGGAGAAGGGCCCTAAAAGGAAAACGGGCAGCTGGCGCACGGCAGGCAGGCGCAGGCCCCCTTACAATGTATATACTTCGACAAAAGGCCCTGCCGATTTGGCTCCCTCATCGTCTCTCTTTCACGACCAATGCTGCTGCCGCCGCCACCGCCGCTGCTGCTGCTACTACATTAGAGCAAGAGAGGATCGATAAGCCTGGTACGATGTGTGTTTCTCGTCATCCTCCATAAACGCGTTTCTTTTGATCTGGGATAATTCTGTCGGAATCTTACTTTGTTTTCGTCAATTATGTGGGTTATTAGGCTGGAAAACTGGTTTTCCGTTCGAAGCGATTGTTTGGTATAGGAGAACAGTCGGATTTCTGTTTGGAGGATTCGGACTGCCGAAGAAAATAACGAAACTCAAAACGCGCCGCCCGAAGAAATATTTTCAAATCGTCCTAAAACAATAAAATCCAAGGCCATCATTCGTTACTAATCCGTACGGCGTGTTTACTTTCAGTAGCAGCGATGTATTGTGTTATCGAACGACAAATTCGATTTTTTGTTCCTCTCTCTTTCACACAAGCAGTTGTTGGGCCCAAACGGAAGGGCACAATCTTGCGGTCACCTGGGTACCGCAAATTGGCGGAAGTTTTTGCATCGGAGGATGAAAAGGGAGTAGCGAAGGAAAAGAAGGAGAAAAAAAGACTGACTTTGTTGCGTCCATTCCGTTTTTCCATTCAGCCAGTGAGAACCGGCGGTTTCTTTTCGACAAGGGTTCTGCTGTCTTTTCGTATTTTTTTTTTTTTTTGCTTTTCGATGGCAACTCGCGGTGGTATGTTATTAATACCGTTGAGAGTTTCTTGGAAAGGTTGCAAATACACCACAAACGTTGACAATGAAACATCCTAAACGAAAAAGATTTCGACCACAATACGACGAACAAGTGATTTCTTAACTTTGATTAACGCTCTTCTCGATATACACACAAAACAAGCGAGCTATAATAATTCGACAAACGAGATCGAGAGGCATCCCACTCCTCACTCTTCACTCTAATTCGCTTTGCAATACGTCGAGCCGTTGGCATTTGTTCCGAAGGCGTAACAACTCGTCGGTTTCTTATCTCATTGCGCAAATAAACGACTACTGCAGCCAAAATAAACGTGAAATGTATTGTAATTTCGAAATTTCCCCGAACTCACCCCGATAATTAAAAAAGTAAGGTGGAGCAGAAAAGGAAAATCCGTCCAGAGCAGCTCAGCAAGATAGCAACGCTTCTGCTGGCAAAGTATGTATAACGTTCACACGGCAACGTCGTGCGCGCGCGAGCGACCGAGAAAACAAGAGCACAGCGAGTATATATACAAGAGAGAGAGAGAGAGAACACACGGCACGAGGGGCATCCGTTTTGTCCGCGCTCGTACGCTGAAAAAGATTCCTTAGCTGGGAATCTGCTCTCGTAAAGAAAACGATCGTAACAGTGTCGAGTCGCGTACGAAAAGTACGTGCTATACCAGTCAATTACCCCATTCTTTTTTTCTTATATTTACATTAAGTCATACATGCATTGATTGATTCGCGCGCGCGCGCACGCGTATATGTAGGGTTCAGCGCCCTTGTGACTCAGCAGCCAAAGGGCGCTTGTGTGGGCTTTACGTGCCCAGGGGCTGACGCCTGTAAGTACACGTCGGTATTACGTCAAACTCGATTGAGTCATGTGTCTGTTGTGTCATCGATTTTTAGACTGCACAACGCGAGACGATCATTTATTTCCGATCACGTGGCGCTCGGTGCACGAACGAGCAGGGGAAAACCTTATTGGTCTTGATGATGAATAGATTAGGGAAACTGTTTACCAGTGAATGAATACGTAGTTTCGTAAATTATATTTTGATAGCAATCATTCCCATTGAAGAAAAAGTGGATTACGTCGTTGGCCATTCGTTCAAACTATTACAAATTCGGTGTTAATACGAAAAGGAATCAAAGAACTCATTTCCCTCTCAGTCTCTCTCGCGCGCGCCCAGTATATAAAACTGGTTCTACGCTGGCTCCTCCGCTGCATCAGAAAGCCCTTGAACACGTTAAGATAGAAAGAAAAAAAATGGACGAAATCAATCGCGCCAAGGAAGCTTAAGCGCGAGAGTCTATAGAGAGAGAGAGAGAGAGAGAGAGAGAAAGAGATGAGGTCGAGCGGAAGTAGTGCCAAGCAACGCCGGCTGAATATATTCGACTACGTAACTCGCTTTACTCTATGCGTACGTTGACACCGTTAGAAGAGCCTCGAGAGAGTGAACGCGCGCGCCTCTAACGACGACATTACACTCCCGCGCAACCAACCAACGCACACACAACACACAACACTCAATTCCTTCGTTTCCTTTTCTTTATTTTTTCGCGTGCTATCGCTTCTTCAAACATCAATGTTTACCTTGTTGCCCAGTATATGATAAAACCGACGAGGGACACTACGACTACTTGCTGAAGCTCACTTCGACAGCGATTTTTATTCCACTAAATTTGTCACGTGGAGCTTTCAAATGTCGCGTAATTGTTTCATGTTATTTGTACCTGCATGCTAAAAATAGCACATTCGTGGAGTTGTTCGAGGTTTTTGATCGAGTGTTTCTCAAATTCAATCGCGTGTGTTTAAGCCACTATAATCCTCGAAATATAGACATACGAAAAAATTTACGACGTTTACTTAATTTTTTAATCCGGAAATAGATAAACTAACACGTAACGCAAATTTCCGACTTGCCGGTATATTATTTTAAATAGCAAGTTAAGTTTGCTCGAATTATATGACTTACACATTCATTAGGCACTATTAGCGTTTGATTATTGCGCTTGATCTTTGATTCTTCTGAAAAACTAAACTGTATAGGTTCACGAACAGTCACAGCGGTCCGCAAAACAACTGAGCAAATTCTTGTGTAAATACGAGTGTTTAGAACGTCATAAACTTAATGTGAACACAGGCTTATGCTTGTCAGCCTAAAGGGACCGAACACCATTAAAAAATGTGAAGAGGGCCAAATGCAAATTGAAAGGGCTCCAAAGATTTTGGAGTAGGCGAAGTAGACCAGTGAAATAACGAGAAGAGGCGTGCGCAGCCGGTAGTAGTTAGACGACGAAGGTGTGCGCGCGCGTTCGCGAAGGGGTCAACGATCCTCTCTCTCTCTCTCTCTCTCTCTCTCTCTTTCTCTCGCGAAGTTCATCGGGGCAAAGTGCCTATGTGTGTGTTCACTCCGAACTTTGAAATCTGTAAAAAGCGAACGCAACTAAAAGTGTCGATAGATGCCCCACTAAAAATTCAAGCCTTGGAGCTCTTGAGTGTCGAAAAATTTAGAAAGGTCGTGGATTGGTCAACGGCGCTTTCTTTTTTTCCTTTTTCGCTCATGACACAGGTGGTAATCGAGGGTAACAACCGATTAGGAAAACTCCCAATGCTTTCAGATAAAAATAGACAGAAAGAGTATAACTCTCCGGGAACCTTCGTCATTTTCTCAATGGCAAAAGGACCCTTGGTCCGTTTTCTGCTCTCTTGGCTCTCGAGGAGGATTTCATCTCTCGCAGCATGTCGCGAAGTTTCCAAAATATCGAATGTCACTGTTAACATAACAATGCGCGCGCGAGCGCTATGCTTGCCCTATAACGACTCATAAATATTTATCGTTCAACAGCAGTGAATCTTCTTTTCTCTTTCTCTCCAGAAGTCGCCGGAGTCGTGCGGGGTTTCCGCTCATTTTCCGTGCGCGAAAAATTAATTCCGTCCATGAACGACTGGCCTTCGCTGTGCGTATACGTACTTACTTACGTACACGCTTATATGTACATCTGCCCATTTCACACCGTCGCAACATTCGCTTTCATAACATTCAAAGCACCTGCTCTGTTGTTTTTTTTCGCGGGACAGATGGTCGTTCGCGCGATGCGAAAAAAGCCGACAAATTTATAGACCTGCGAATTGGAAATTAACGTTTTCTAATATGATTCGTGTACATACTACGATCTCGAGTACATTTGAATGAGATAATTTTCGTTAGACCGAGTGTATAAATTGAAATGATGCCATTAGCTAAAGTCACATGTGCGTGGATATAGGGTTTGTGTGCGCGTGCGCGCGCTGCACGAAACTCAGGAATTCCTTTTTATCGGAATAACACTTTAATGATGTACTAATTGGAATTCATTTTTATTCCTTGAATAAGGAAACTCGAATTGAGCGGCGAACAATATAAATATATAGGTTATAGAAACTAGCTTGAACGTGCACTCGTGTTTCGACGAATCGATTGTAAACAGCGAAGATGTAAGTAATACTAACACAATGAGAGATCATAACTTGGAACGCGCTCGTTTGCAACGAAAAGGTTAGAAATCTGGCGTCGCGTTTTTCCAGAACAGCCAAGAGTGAGTTCAAGGACGAGCTCAGGTGCGAGAACCTCCCACGGTTGTTCACCTCGTATATGCTATAGGTACAATACGCGCGCGCTCATGCTGCTGTGGCTCGCTGCCGATATATAAATAACGCGGTTGCGTACAGCAAAGAAAGACGAAAGATACACGTGTGTTAGTTCGCCCGCGCGAGTATGATGATGATGACACCCACCTTGTCTGCCGACAATCTCAGCCACGTGCTCGCTGCTCGGCACCGGCACACACTCGGTCATGTTCTGGCTCTTCTTCGATCTGGCCTCCTCGAACACGCTACTTGGTGAGCTTTGTAGTCCATCGTTATCCGGGACAACACCATTCGTTACGACAGGCCCGGTGACACCGGTTGGTGGATTACCATTGGCGCTGCCATTTTCGAGGCCAAGCATCGAAAGCTCGAAAGCTAACTGAAGCGCGCGTTGCTCCTCGAGGGAGCCGGTGGCTGCGGCTCCGCTCGCCGCACGCTCCACTTCCGTGAACAAGCTAGTCGGCATTGTTCTTTTCGTTTACGCGCACTTTGTTTGTGGTGAGATTTGTAATGGATGCTGTATGTGTGTGACGATTACGATGAATATGTGTCCCACTTGTATTTTCCGTTTTTTCGACAATAAACTTGTTATTCCCAGCTTCGGCGCCGACTACGGCGGCGATGTTGCACTGACGTCGACAACGGCGTCGACGAGCTGCTGATTGATGCTCGAAGGTGATGACTACTTGGAGCACGCCTGATCTGTCGTCGTTTAAGCAGCTCCTCGTACAGCACCACGAGTATGAGAATTAGCAGTATAATAGTGTCTGCTCGACGAGACTCAGCGAGTTCGGTAGAAATACGTAAGGGTTTATACACGTCCTTTGTCTTTTTGAGCGAATGTGTTTGAATCTGTCTCGATAAAAACGGCAGTGTCGTTGAAAAAAACGCGTGACAACCCTTCTCACACGTCGTCTCGCTTGCTCGGTTCGACAGTGCCACTGCGACTGACGGCCGGTGCGCGAGCTCAGACGACATGTGCCGCCGGACGCCGGCAATGCTAAGCTCCCATTCGTCGAGCGCTCGGATCACGTGGCCTCCTTTACCCACCAGCCTCCCCTCGTACGCCGGAATACTGCCGCGGAGTCGCGCAGGCGGAGGAGAGATGGAAACGAAGAGAAATATATATAGAGAGAAAGAGAAGGAGAGAGAGAGAGAGTGAGTGAGCGAGTGAGAGAGGAGACACGCGGAGAGAGGAGAAGGATGACGCGTCGGGTGACCGGTCATAGAATGTTTCAACGATGCAAAAGGGATGTTGATCCCGAGCTGTGTCTGCGCCTGTGTGCTTCGTGTTAGTATGAATCATGAATGATTTTTTTATTTTTTTTTCCATGCTTTAATTCTCCTTTCCCGCGGGCCTTTATGCAAGACGTTACTGCGTTCGGTAATTTTTAACGCTTGCAAGAAATACTTTTCGCGTGAATCACACGATTGTTAAATATATTACCTTTTTTTTCGTCGGGTGATTAAATTCTATTGCGTAAATTGGAAACCAATGGGATTTCCCAATTTGAAATCAATCCTTCAATGTTCATAATGATATTCCTACCGTGAGAGAATCCACTTTTTGACAAAAGTTTGACAGTTGTAAATTTGAAAATCGTCACTTGCAAAAGAAACTGGCCTATTTTCGACACTAAAAATTCATATCTAGAAATGACCTTTCCTCGTATCTAAAGTATTAAAATGTAAATAACGACCGTGACTTTATTGGAGTAGCCTCGGCAGTAACTATAGCGTTATACTCTGTTGCTTTCGCAATACACTAAATCTCGAGAAAAAAAAAAATCACGCATAATAATTGTGTCGTAAACACTTGCTCTTTGCCGCTTTGATCGTCGAGCGCGGTAAATACCGAAATTTAACAGTAAAATCCGCGCGGAGAGAGAAAAGTTAGACTCGCGTGGTTTTAATGCGCGCGCTATAAAATCATAAAACGCGGGAAATTCAGCGGCGGATTAATCCCTCGGCGAGCAAGAGCACGCGCGCATAGGCCAGAGAGAGAGAGAGAGAGAGAGAGAGAAAATCAATAACGTATCCGGAATGAAAACACACCGAAGTCATCGAGTGTGTACGCGCAGCTGGAAGGGTAAAACATAATGCTTCCCCTCCAGCGGCGTTGGCTGCCGCTGCGCCCGGTGGTGACCTGTCACGATACGATCGTATCCCTCTCTTCTAGCAGCATCCGTCGAGAGTTGCAGCAATGTATTAGTTCTCGCTCTCTCGCAGTATTCCCATGCTCGTATTTTCGTCTTTTCCTCTCTGTCTGTCTGCCTCTCTCGCTCGCACCAAATGTATATCGCGCAGTCGCCGTGCCATCTCTCCGCTCTTTTACTTCTACCCCGATGGCTACGGTGGGCTGTATATGCTCGATGTCTTTTCGATTCTCTGGTCGCGGATGGATTTTTCCGATGTAATGCATCGCGCGCTCCGTGTCCGTCTTATTAACTATTTAATTGGGTTAATCGACAGGCAGGAAACGCATCGCGGACGAGATTAACGCGCACAGTGCATAGGAAAGCCGATTTGCCGGATGAGATTGAAAGGGAGCATTTTAGAAGAGAGTTTACGATCATCCGCAGCACCTTATCCAATCCGTAACGCTCACTTTACCGACAGCAGTGATGTTCGAATGATAACGTAAAGCTTCATTTTCCAACGATTCTGAACCTCTTGTCGTTGGAAAACCCGACTCGTGATCACGATCGACCGAAAGAAACGGGCCGAGATGAGCGTCGTGGACGAAACGCGGATAAGCTAATTTCCATACGCGCGCCTCTGAAACGATACTATGGCGCCTGTGAAATGCACGGCGAACGCGTGGCACACGCCGGGACTTCCGCGCGGGCGAGCTGCGTGTATATTCGTATCATAATGGTACGATAACATCGCGGCTTACTCGCTCCCCGATGGGAAAGGCCGCGCTCGAAAATCGCGATAATGGCGAGCTCTGCGATGATGATGATCACGATACCTCTTTTGCGGGAGATGCATTTGCGTAATTTAATTGCAGCTAATGGATTTTATTTTTAAAGTCGTAAATAGATATATGGAAATGTCGCGAGCTTTTAGGAATTTCTACTCGAAAGGGTATGGTACTAGTTTTCGAATATTAATATCGAACAACATGGGAATATTATAATTTTTTAAATATGAAGCATCTAAATAAACCTCATAGTTCTTTTGAAAATTTGGGAAAAACCGTGAATCAATTTTTATATTATAAGACCTATAAATCTCTTAAATTGTATGACTCAACGATATTTGTTTCGCCTGAACTCTTCGAAAATATGTGCACCTGTAAGCACGCATAACATTTGCAAATATCAAGAGCGAGTAATATAACATATGAGTTCGTATTAAGCGATACTCTTCATTAGGCTCGTTTTATCATAAATCACAATCCATGTCATTTATCTAATACTTTAAGGACTGCAAGATCATAAATAAATACATATTTCTGCAAAGATTCAAATCGATTGATTATCTGATTTTGAAGATACAAATGATTCATTAGTTTGCTCTTATACACAATATGTATAAGGCGAGGCATGAAAATAAAGGACTTTTCCGCAACATTCTTAATCAAGATGTCATTCTTTTTAACAACTAAACGATACTAGACACAGCTATTTTATTATGACCATATATTTTTGTTCAAAGTTTGCAATCTAGTTCCGGTGCAATAACTATTAGAATGGTCCAATTTGAAAATTTTATTGTAGTATTGTCGGTCATTGGTAACTGAACGTTTCTATTTTTACTGCTATGATTTATTGATCAGTTATTATGATGAAATGCAGTTTAAATATTTTGTATTACATTTTAATGTTTGTGCCTCGTATAATTGTATTTTTTAATTTAATATATACTATATAATGTGATATAACCGCCTTAAAGTTTGGATTAGAATCGCATGAAACGTAGAGTTCAGATTCATTCGTCACCGCTAGATGTAAGGCAATCGTATCGAAGTATTGTCTCGCAATCGAAATAGATGAATAGAATAAATAAATAGTCGGACGAGGTACGCGATGTTTGCCAGTTTTTATTTGCTTGGATAGAGATTGTTCTTGATCTCTATCCACGGACTCCTGGGGCTTATGATCTCGTGGATTGCATTTGGATTCACGAGAAGTCGCCCCAGGTTCGAGTATAAAGTTTCGGCTTTGTACCCGATGTCATCTATGATGATAGTCCGCAAAATAACGATTCCAAAAATTAATTTTCAAAATACTGCTATGATTTATTGATTAGTTATCATGATGAATTGCAGTTTAAATATTTTCTATTAAATTTCAATGTTTGTGCCTCGTATAATTGTAATTTTTTAATTTAACATATACTATATAATGTAATATAACCGCCTTAAAGTTTGGATTAGAATCGCATGAAACGTAGTAGAGTTCAGATTCATTCGTCACCGCTAGATGTAAGGCAATCGTATCGAAGTATTGTCTCGCAATCGAAATAGATGAATAGAATAAATAAATAGTCGAACGAGGTACGCGATATTTACCAGTTTGAATTTGCTTGGGTAGAGATTGTTCTTGATCTCTATCCACGGACACCTGGGGCTTATGATCTCGTGGATTGCATTTGGATTCACGAGAGGTCGCCCCAGGTTCGAGTATAAAGTTTCGGCTTTGTACCCGATGTCATCTATGATGATAGTCCGCAAAATAACGATTCCAAAAATTAATTTTCAAAATACTGCTATGATTTGTTGATCAGTCATCATAATGAATTGCAGTTTAAATATTTTCTATTACATTTCAATGTTTGTGCCTCGTATAATTGTAATTTTTTAATTTAACATATACTATATAATGTGATATAACCACCTTAAAGTTTGGATTAGAATCGCATGAAACGTAGAGTTCAGATTCATTCGTTACCGCTAGGTGTAAGCCAATCGTATCGAAGTATTGTCTCGCAATCGAAATAGATGAATAGAATAAATAAATAGTCGGACGAGGTACGCGATGTTTGCCAGTTTTTATTTGCTTGGATAGAGATTGTTCTTGATCTCTATCCACGGACTCCTGGGGCTTATGATCTCGTGGATTGCATTTGGATTCACGAGAAGTCGCCCCAGGTTCGAGTATAAAGTTTCGGCTTTGTACCCGATGTCATCTATGATGATAGTCCGCAAAATAACGATTCCAAAAATTAATTTTCAAAATACTGCTATGATTTATTGATTAGTTATCATGATGAATTGCAGTTTAAATATTTTCTATTAAATTTCAATGTTTGTGCCTCGTATAATTGTAATTTTTTAATTTAACATATACTATATAATGTAATATAACCGCCTTAAAGTTTGGATTAGAATCGCATGAAACGTAGTAGAGTTCAGATTCATTCGTCACCGCTAGATGTAAGGCAATCGTATCGAAGTATTGTCTCGCAATCGAAATAGATGAATAGAATAAATAAATAGTCGAACGAGGTACGCGATATTTACCAGTTTGAATTTGCTTGGGTAGAGATTGTTCTTGATCTCTATCCACGGACACCTGGGGCTTATGATCTCGTGGATTGCATTTGGATTCACGAGAGGTCGCCCCAGGTTCGAGTATAAAGTTTCGGCTTTGTACCCGATGTCATCTATGATGATAGTCCGCAAAATAACGATTCCAAAAATTAATTTTCAAAATACTGCTATGATTTGTTGATCAGTCATCATAATGAATTGCAGTTTAAATATTTTCTATTACATTTCAATGTTTGTGCCTCGTATAATTGTAATTTTTTAATTTAACATATACTATATAATGTGATATAACCACCTTAAAGTTTGGATTAGAATCGCATGAAACGTAGAGTTCAGATTCATTCGTTACCGCTAGGTGTAAGCCAATCGTATCGAAGTATTGTCTCGCAATCGAAATAGATGAATAGAATAAATAAATAGTCGGACGA